AGTTCAATCTATCTATCTATCTATCTATCTATCTATCTATCTATCTATCTATCTATCTATCTATCAACCGCTGTCAGTCTATTCATAACTTATCTATCAACTTAAGTAAGTCTGTTACCTATCTATCTATCTATCTATCTATCTATCTATCTATCTATCTATCTATCACAGTCTGTTCCTATCTATCTATCTATCTATCTATCTATCTATCTCAGATTTTTCATATCTCTTCTCCTACACTATGTTTTCTATCTAAGGTCTCTGTCGCCATCTAATACTTATCTCTTTTTATATTTTGAATCTTCAGAGACTAATCTTACTTCTCATATCTTCTCTTTGCTACGACTCCACAGAAACCATGGATTTCCCTTCAAATTCTCGATCCTCTCTCGAGAACTCTCAAAGACGACAGTTTTCTAAAGTTTGGGAATCAAACATAATTTCGCAATGATTGAACTTAAACATTTTATTAAAAGAATATTTCTCTTTGATTTCACGAAGACACTTGAAAATGCTTTTGGAGAAAAATGAATTGTAGTCGGAGGGTTTTGTGTGTGGGAGAAAAAACGGTCATTGTATTTTGTGGTCGTATGCAGGAGAGAATGTAGAAGAGAATGTATATATGTATATGCCTGCCTGTCTGTCTGCCTGCCTGCTTGTCTGTCTGCCTGCCTACTATCTCTCTCTATCCTCACTCTGTCATCCATTCATTCTTTCGTTTTTTCCTTTATATGTATTTCCTTCTAGTACGTGGGCGATCGTGACTCTCCACGCTTTCCTGTCTCTTGTAGACTTCAGCAATATTTGACTTTATCATGTCTCTTTCTTCCTGCTCTGCCATTCATTTTTCCTTCATCTTTTTTTATGTCTTTTCTTTTCAGTACGTGGTCGTTCATGGCTCTCCACAACTTCCATTCCTTTTAAGCCTACGCAATATTTGACTCTTTACCATCACTCTTTGCCCTCGCCCCGCCACCCGTTCATCCCTTTAACGTTTTTATGCGTCTTTTCCTTTTAGTGCGTGGGCGATCATGGCTCTACACAACTTCCTGTTTTTTGCAACCTTAAGCAACGTTCGAGTCTTTATCGTTACTATTTGCGATCCATTCAGACAATTTTTTGGAAGGTTACTCAACATTTTCGACTGATTCTCTTCACTTAGATACATCCAGTGGGTATCAAATTCTCCAAGCCGTCTTTCCTAAATGTGTCCCAGAAATTCCACCTGTCTTTCTCTCTGATGTCACTTTCGTTTCTCTTTTCCTTAACATTTCCTCGCTGCTGACATGCTATTATCCATGATATTCTCAGCATCCTCCTGTAGTACCAAAACTTTGATCTCTGAAGTCTCCTCTTCATTCCCGGGGAAACTTTCTAGCATTGACTGTTATAGGACAATATATATTAGAGAGTTGTTCAGTACCCTTTTTCTGTGCTTCTAACGAAATTTTCCTATCACTTAATACTTTGCTTATGTTTTGGAAGGCATCTTTCCCCATTCCAATGAGATTTCAGAGTACAGTGTCATAATTTACGCTGTCTGTTGAAAACACTTTTCCAGGATAGAGTTTTTTTAACGATCAGCACAATGAATGAATAAGCAGTTCAGTTACTGTTGAAACTTGACTAATGCATGGAATAATAATGCAACACAAAATGTACTTAGAACAAAATGTATTGAAACAAGAAAGTGTACACAATATTTACATATAGTCTTTTGTATATTCTTGCGAAGACCGTTCCTGGAGAATGTGTTGACTGAGTCGCAATCGGGCAGAGTCTCTGGTTGAATCTCTTGATTCCTCCCTCTCTTCCCGGTACCAACCATATTTATATGGTCGGTACTCCACTATGCAAATTAGGTGGATCCTACCACAACAGTTAATTTGTCTTTGTTTCTAAGGAAATTTTGTAATTTTCTTAATACTTTGCTTAGCTTTTGAAAGGCATCTTTTTCTATTCCAATCTGTCTTCGGATTTCGGTGTCACATTTTCAGACTTTTTTTTATTTACTTAAATTCCTCTGCTTGTGACGTTTCTAATTCATTTTCAATCATCATTATTGACGTTCTTGGAATTAGCTCATACTGTCTTGGAAAGGAATTGGTAAAAACAGGAAATCCAAGGAAGATTCGAATCAAACTAAACGGCAGGATTTGGGATATTATTAAGAATACTGCCATGCCAGTTGATCTCCATGTATGTTCTAATAAGAGTTAGATTTAACCCATGAAAAATTTGCGGCTTTGAAGTTTGAAATTTATGAAGAATCCTAATTTATCAGTTAATGATTTAATGGTAGGTTCTACGGCAATGACATATCCGTAGAAATTCCCCTATCACCTCGTTAAATATAGATATAAATAGATGTAGATAGATATATCGATAGAAATATCGATAGAAACAGTCAGACAGACAGAAACAGTTCGAGATAGATAGATAGAAGCTGAATCAGATAGATAGATAGATAGATAGATAGATGCTGAATCAGACAGACAGAAAGATAGATAGATCGATAGATAGATAGATAGATAGAAGCTGAATCAGATAGATAGATAGATAGATAGATTGATAGATAGATAGATCGATAGATAGATAGATAGATAGATAGATGCTGAATCATACAGACAGAAAGATAGAGAGATAGATAGATGCTGAATCAGATAGATAGATAGATAGATAGATAGATAGATAGATAGATAGATGCTGAATCAGATAGATAGATATATGCTGAATCAGACAGACAGAAAGATAGATAGATAGATAGATAGATAGATAGATGCTGAATCAGACAGACAGAAAGATAGATAGATCGATAGATAGATAGATAGATAGATGCTGAATCAGATAGATAGATAGCGATAGATAGATAGATAGATAGATGCTGAATCAGACAGACAGAAAGATAGATAGATCGATAGATAGATAGATAGAAGCTGAATCAGATAGATAGATAGATAGATAGATAGATCGATAGATAGATAGATAGATAGATGCTGAATCAGATAGATAGATAGATAGATAGATGCTGAATCAGACAGACAGAAAGATAGATAGATCGATAGATAGATAGATAGATAGATGCTGAATCAGATAGATAGATAGATAGATAGATGCTGAATCAGATAGATAGATATATGCTGAATCAGACAGACAGAAAGATAGATAGATCGATAGATAGATAGATAGATAGATGCTGAATCAGATAGATAGATAGATAGATCGATAGATGATGAATCAGATAGATAGATAGATGCCGAATCAGATAGATCGATAGATGCTGAATCAGATAGATAGATAGATAGATAGATGCTGAATCAGATAGATAGATAGATAGATAGATAGATAGATAGATAGATAGATAGATGCTGAATCAGATAGATAGATAGATAGATAGATAGATAGATAGATAGATGCCGAATCAGATAGATATATAGATAGATAGATAGATGATGAATCAGATAGATAGATAGATAGATGCTGAATCAGATAGATAGATAGATAGCTAGATGCTGGATCAGATAGATAGATAGATAGATAGATAGATAGATAGATAGATGCTGAATCAGATAGATAGATAGATAGATAGATAGATAGATAGATAGATAGATAGATAGATGCCGAATCAGATAGATAGATAGATAGATGCTGAATCAGATAGATAGATAGATAGATAGATAGATAGATGCCGAATCAGATAGATAGATAGATAGATGCTGAATCAGATAGATAGATAGATGCCGAATCAGATAGATAGATAGATAGATAGATAGATAGATAGATGCTGAATCAGATAGATAGATAGATAGATAGATGCCGAATCAGACAGACAGAAAGATAGATAGATCGATAGATAGATAGATAGATAGATGCTGAATCAGATAGATAGATAGATAGATAGATAGATGCTGAATCAGATAGATAGATAGATAGATAGATAGATAGATGCTGAATCAGATAGATAGATAGATAGATAGATGCCGAATCAGACAGACAGAAAGATAGATAGATCGATAGATAGATAGAAGCTGAATCAGATAGATAGATAGATAGATAGATAGATCGATAGATAGATAGATAGATAGATGCTGAATCAGACAGACAGAAAGATAGATAGATCGATAGATAGATAGATAGATAGATAGATAGATGCTGAATCAGATAGATAGATAGATAGATGCTGAATCAGATAGATAGATAGATAGATAGATAGATAGATAGATCGATAGATAGATAGATAGATAGATAGATGCTGAATCAGACAGACAGAAAGATAGATACATCGATAGATAGATTGATAGATAGATGCTGAATCAGATAGATAGATAGATAGTTAGATAGATAGATCGATAGATAGATAGATAGATAGATGCTGAATCAGATAGATAGATAGATAGATAGATAGATGCCGAATCAGATAGATAGATAGATAGATGCTGAATCAGATAGATAGATAGATGCCGAATCAGATAGATAGATAGATAGATAGATAGATAGATGCTGAATCAGATAGATAGATAGATAGATAGATGCCGAATCAGACAGACAGAAAGATAGATAGATCGATAGATAG